GTTGTGTTGTGTGTTGTGTTGTTTGTTTGTTCGTTTTCGTTTTCGTTTACTATATATATATATATATATATATATATATATATATATATATATATATATATATATATATATATATATATTGATGATGCCATTCTGGGGATGATATGCAAATTAAGGAAGATTAATTCATATTATTAAGTACCTTAGAAGAGTGACTAGTTGTGATGATCTTTATTACGTATATGAATGTATGAGTATGTCTGTGTAATTGAGATTTTATGTTTAAGAATTAATTTAGACAGACGAAAACAACCGTATTTATTAGCAATAGTAATTGAAAAATATCAAAAGAATTTGATGTAAATTAATTAGAAATTAATTTTCGGCTAAATTTTTTAAGTTTTTTTTCTTTTTTTAATTCATTTTACATTTTCCTTCTTTCTTCTTCGTTGATTTTTTATTTTACCTAATATTAATAAAAGCGAATTGTTACATTTCTACGGTAATACTTTTGAAAAAAAAATTTTCATCGTACAGTAATTTTTATCTAAAATCATTGAAAGGATAATAGGAAATAAGAATAAATTGGTGAAAGAAAAGGATTGTTACTTTCTTCCATTTCTATCTTTTCGGTTCCTTTTTTCTTCGCTTTGTTTTGCATTATTATATTTAACGTAACTAAAAAAAAAACAAAATTGTTTGTAATTTTGAAATAATTTATTAAAAAAGTTTTTTATTTTTGTCTAAGAATTTTATTCATTATTTTAAAAATCAATTCATTAAAAATTCTGGCAGATATTTGTCTTAAATTTCAAAAATTTCCTCTTTCCGCAAACAATCAACCAAATATTTACTAATAAATGTTAAGCAAACAATATTTATTGTTAATATGCAAATTTAACCTTCAATTTTTGTAGTTTCACTTTATTTGTTATGGTAGTATTGCTACAGTACCATCTATTGCAGTATATTTGGATTTTTAGTTTTCTTCAAATGATTCTTTGATTAAAAATTCTTTTGTTGCATGGTGGAAATCAAATATAATATCAATGAATTAAAATTGTGTGGGGAGCATATTTATTACTTCATTAATAAATTATTTAATTTAATTCAAGCCAACAAGACAAAAAATGCTAAATAAATTCAATAACCAAATAATAGGAAAAATGGGAGTAAATAATGGTTGATATATAAATATCCTAATGATTATAAGTCATTTTACTCCTTTATTTTTGCCAATTAATTCAATTAATTGCTTAATTAACATCCTCAAACAATTCCAAGCTATTATTTAGGAGGACAAGCGATAATTTTCGACTATTTTACATTCTTGTTTAAATTATTTTGTAGTCTTTTTTAATGGAAAAAGAAGCAAAAAAATAAAAAATATTTCAAAAAAAAGATTTTAAAAAAATGAAAAAAAATATAAAGCAAAAAAACAAAAAGACGGATAATACTTGTTGAGTTATAACAATAAATAAAAATGAAGCTATTAATTATAAAAATGAAAGAAAAGAAAAAGGGAAAAAAGGAAATTTCAATAAGAAAAAAAAACAGTTTCAATTTAAAATATTTTTTTAATATTGGAATTTTTTTTCTTACATTTGATTTTTTTTTAAATTTTATCTCTACCCTTCCTTTCTTTTTTTTATTTTGTTTATTTAATGATAATTAAATATATTTATTAATGTTTACGATCATTTTTATCTATCCTATATCATATCAAAATAGCAAAAATAGCATAATTTTCTTTATTTTTCTCAAATTACTTACGTAAAATAACAAAATTATTCAATCTTTTTTTTTTTTACTAATTCCTAAATTCTCATCGTGCTTTAGATTTGTGCTTATTGAACATTATTATTCTACATGCAAAAAGCTATCTATTCCAATTCACAAGCATCTTCATTATCATTGATAAATTCTTAAATGCAAACAAAAA